CAGTTTCCCCAGCAATAATCTCCACATGACAGCTCCTTGTCACAAGCCAACATTGCTGGAGATGAAGTTCAGCACAGCAAGTGGAAGGAACTGTTGTCAGTGACCAGGTTACTGGTGGTCACCGAGAGGTATATTTCTTCCTCTAGGGGCAAGATGTGTCAGGTTTTCACCTTTTAAAGGAAGGAAGATGAATAAGAAACAAAACAAACAAGGAGTCCAGCCCAGAGAGCCTGCATGGGATTGCAAGGGGTCCTACAGACCATGTCTTGCAAGATATTTCTGTGATACATGTCTCTCCCATAGTTAACCCACAGAGCTAGCTGGCACCAAGAGCCTCCATGAGCTTTATGCAACTTGTGCACGTGTAAGACATGTTGTTAGAACTGTAAGAGTCATAGAACACCAGGTTGGAAGGACCTTGAGGATCATCTGGTCCAACCCAACCTTTCATGGCAAAAGCACAGTCTAAAAAAAGCTCAGCACCCTGTCCAGACAAATCTTAAAAGTGTCCAATGCTGGGGAAACCTACCACTTCCCTCGGGAGATTATTCCAATGGCTGATTGTTCTCATTGTGAAAAACTGTCCTCTTGTGAACAACAGAAACTTCATGAAGAATAAATTGTACCCATGACTCCTCATCTTTTCTATGTGACTCCTTGCAAAAAAGGATTTTCCATCTTCTCTGTAGCCATCCTTTAAATATTGAAACATGGTGATAATGTCTCCACTAAGCCTTCTTTTCTCAAGGCTGAACAAACCCAGTTCTCTCAGCCTCTCCTCACATGTCAGGCTTCCCAGTCCTTTGATCACCTCAGTGGTCCTTCTCTGGGCCCTCTCCAGCCCGTCCACACCTATTTTGCATAGCAGGGACCAAAAGTGAACACAGTATTCCAGGTGTGGCCTGACAAGCGCTGAGTAGAGTGGGACAATGTCTTCTTTATCTCTGCCAGGGATGCCGTTGGTGATGCACGGAGTCCAAATTGAGTCTCCATTTGAACTTCCATGAGTGACATTCTCCTCATTATGGCTTCCATTTCCACAGCAGCAAGTGCTCAATCCTATTGACCTGCTTGTCCACCAGCACCCTGAGGTCCCTTTCCACAGAACTACTCTCTAGCCAGGTAGATCCCAGCCTGTGCTGCACTCTTGGAATATACTTTCCCTGGTGCACAGTCTTATACTCGTCTTTGTTGAATTTCATGAGGTTCCTGCTAACCCACTCTTCCTTCCAGTCTGTCCAGGTCTTCCTGCAGGATGGCTTTCCCTTCCAAAATGCCCGCTTCCCTGCTCAGTTTGGCATCATCAGCAAATCTCATGAGGGTACACTTGATCCCATCATCCAGATCACTGTCATCAGGCTCAAGGTTAACTCAAAAGCCAAGGCTTATTTACAGCGTTTGTCGCAGAGTAATCTAACAGTAGACATGCAACATCACACATGTGATAAACTGTACAGTGTACGTTCACGTGTGGTCTTCTCTAAAACCAGTCTATAAGTACAAAAATGGCAGGAAGCTCCCTAGATGGGAATAAAAATGTGCACTGGATTCTGGCCCTTCAGGGGACTGTTTGCACACCCTAAAGTGTGTGCTGCTGCCCGACAGTTATCCTTCTGTCCAAGTTCTTCATTTTTTAGAATAAGTTATATTGTTGTGCGGCTCCTTATTCTGTTTGTTCACCATTTTGGGAAAATCTTCCTTCACATATTGCATTGTACTTTAAGATCAACGTGGTTGGTATTTTTAGACACACCAGTGGGTCGAGTGAACTGTTGCTTGATCTTTTCGTGTTTCTTCTGCCTTTGCTACTGCTCATCTTCTCTAAGACTTGATAGGTAGCTGTGACACAAATCTGTTTCATCTGACCAGACTTTCATAGTACTATAATTTATTTTAAGTAAACTAAAATATAGATACAGGAAGCAAGGGTGGAGATTCTACCATTCAATGAGCAACTGAGTATTTGAAATATGATGTGATGGAGTCTTGATTGCATCACTCTCTCACATGCTACAGAAGAAGGCTGCTTCTAAAAAAAAAAAAGAACCAAGAAGAGAAGGGGAAAAAAAGAAATAAAGCCAGAAAAAAGGATGCAACTAGGGCACAGTTTTATTGATGATTTCCTTCAGGTTTTCTATGGCATAGAATACAGTAATTCGTGGGCAAATACAGGAAACTCTATATTCTTTTTATTGTTTTCCATGCTTATACCCTGTGTATTGAACTGCAGCCTATTTTCTTTCTTCATGCCAATTATTCCAAATACAGGGTGCAAACTGTGCCTACAGAGTCTGTTTCACCCACAGGTATGTTACAAAAGCATAGTATTTCCACTTAATAACATATAGGAGCAAATGCAAGTCTGCTTAAGAAAGAATGAAAGAAAAGACTGTAAAAGCAGACAAGATGAGCTTCGAGTGAGTCTATTGTTGGAGCAGAAAGGCCAAATACTAAATAGTTCAGAAATTGTGTTCAGAGACAAGGACAACCCCTATCCCAGCTATGTTTTCCGTGGACAGAACAAATGTTTTTGTCTCATGTTTCATGTCTCCAGATTCTCAGGAGCAAATGCAGTGCTTACTAATTCCATTTATAGTGTCATAGAATTTCAGTCAATTTATTTCTTTGCTGTTTTTTAAGCATACGTTTCCCTGTTTCCTAGATAATCATCACAAAGAGCAATAATTAGAATTAGTACTATAGGACACAATCCCTCCTCCTTCCTGTACCTTAAATATTCCAGTAACTGGGATTTTGTCCTGATCACTATATTCACTGTCAGTTTGTCCAACCTATGTCACTTCTTTAGAAGGCAGCTCCAAGGAAGACAACCCTCAGCAGAGCCAGGATTAACAGGTGTAGACCTAGTCCTTACTGTGAGTGTTCCTCTAATGGCATCTACTTGGAGCAACAAGTAGATCTCAGCCCAGCAAAGGCAGAGCGTGCCTCCCCATCCAGACGTGCTTGCGTCTCTGAGAAAGGTCACCAACCAAGCCACCACTCACCCAGCCCTGCCCGTGTTTCCTGCAGGATCTCCTCACTATATCATCTGTGGAAGGACCATCAATAGAGGGGATGTTCAGACTAGCAGCTGGTGAAGAAGCCTGCTGGGACTTGAAGGAGGCCCTGGACGCAGGTGGATGTCTTGACCTGGATAGCCCACCTGTCTCCGGCTGACAGTCATCTTGAAGGGGACTTCTTCTGAGTTTGGCCTGTGAGAGCTCCTTGCAGACCTGCAGGGGATCACTGGATTTGACCTAGCAAGGACCCCAAGATAAAATCACAGAAAAGTCAAATGCGATGGTTCAAGCTTAGAGAAGTTTGACCTTTTTCTTTTCTACATCCTGGTCCATTCCTCTTGTTTTGCCCCTCATTTCTGGCATGTCCACAGAAAACTCACCCAGTACTCTCCTGCTAACAGACTGGTTCACTTGGCATGTGCCCAGGAAGCTGCCTGTTCCATCAGGGTCAATGGGTAGCTGTGAGAGCCAGCAGCTGAAGGCAAGCTGCTTCCTCCCGAGACAAATTCCCAGAGGCTTGAAAGATGGCTTAGCATAGTCTGAAGGCTACACAAGACTGCCACAGGCTTTAACATGCCCCAGAAAAGCTTGCCTGCAATGATGTCTCTTGACAAGATATGACTCGAAGTTGTACCAATACCCAAAAGTTCAGAGCGACAAGATTCACACAACAAAACACACAGCAGACGTTAAGCACCTGTCCTTCAGGTGCTCATCAAACACTCCGAGAGAGATGCTGGTACCTCCAGGGCATTCCTGGTGGGGTTGGAAATAGAACATTGTTCTCACAGCCCCACTCATCCTGTGGTCTTTGTTTTCCCCTTGCTTCTCGGGACAAACATTTGATGAAGGAAAATGCTTTTTTGGTAGCATAACTGGCAGCTGATATGCTGTCAGCTTTGCACTTATCACAGTTAACTCTTCCCAGTAGGGAATGACTCTAGCTGGAAAGCACAAAAAGTCACCTACTATGCCCTCACTGATGCCATGTCACAGTTTTCCACGGAGAAAACTTGGCCCTTGTCTATTCTCAGTCCCCACCTGTTTGGCCTGCTCAGATCCCTGTGTTGAATGATGGCAGCCCATAGGACATAAACATGTGCACAGGTGTGAGGTCCTGCTCAACACAGCTGGGCCTGGATGTTCATTTGCTCTACATGTCAGAGCACCCTGCTGTCAGTGAGACGGACAAACCGCAAGAGAAAAAATAGAGCTTGTGGTGCCTACCAGTTGCCCAAAGGTGTTTGGCCAGGAGTGTTTGGCTAAGCTCCAAGGAGAGAGCTTACTTCTGAGCTCTGCTTTGCAGAACAACCTCACAAGTTGCCCCTCACTTCATAGGTTTTGATTTGAAAACTACAGGACGTGAAATCTCACTGAAAGACCTTCCCTACACGTGGCTATGGCCTCCAGCAGCCGCCTGCTTGTGATGAGTTCTGTGGCAGGACAGAAGCTCAGCTCCTTCTGTGATTGGGCTCAGTGTTCAAGCAGGTTGAATGAACACAATGAGCTGTTCCTCACACCTGGAATTGTCAAGAGGGCCCAGGTCCAAACAGAGTCTTCATTTGAACTTCCATGAGTGACATTCTCTCAATTGTGACCAACCAGTGCTGCCTGAAACAGCGTCAACCACAACATGGCATTGATTTGTCTGTCCTTAGACCTCCTGAAAAGACATGGTATGTGCTCCAGCGTATCTGGGAGAGGTCTGATGCTTTTTTTAGTGACCATTTCCCTGTTTTCAATTTCTATGTGCTTCATACAGCTAGAACAGAAAGTTCTGGAGGAGATGTCAGGACCCTGAGAGCCTCAGACCAGCCCTTTTCTCAGGGAGATGCCTGATGCCTGGGGCTGGGCTGCCCCTGCATGACCCCCAGCCTGCCTGCTCCCTGGCTAGGGACAGTGGGAAAGGTCCTGACTGTCAGATCCTGCCATGACTCCCTTTTGGAAGCCTTCATTGCGCTCTGACAGCGAGGTGGATGTGGCAAAGAGCAAAGATTTTTTTTTTCCTCATGTTCTCATCCCTTAGCTGGAAGATGCTGCAACAGCTGGTGAGGAAAGGAGAAGTACTTCCCTTGTTTCGATTTCTGTTTGAATTACTATGTCTTCTATATATGACTGTAGAATATTTTTCATAAATACTGTTACTCTAGTCTCTGAATTTATTATTTCCAAAGCTGGTTAGAATTTTACCAGGATGCAGGTCCTCTCTGTAGACTCATGTATTCAAGTACTGCCCAAATTGTTTTATTTTTTTCCACATAAATTGGCAATGCTCTGTATTCTTCTGTCTATGCCACTTATGTCTTAAATTCACAGATTGCTTCACAGATTTCTTCCTCCTTGACCCCTAACATCTTAGCTTTATCTCCTCAGGGCAATTCAAAACTAAGCTTCTTTGGCATCCTTACCTATCCTGACACCATCACTCTCTTTCCTGAAACAACTCATTAGCTCTTCTTCTTACAGTTGGTCTCTATCCCAGCTAGGGTCATACACTCATCTATGCTACACACTGCATACATGTCATTTTCACGTTAGAAACTAGTTAAAACACAGCTCTGACTGTCTGGAAAGGCCTTAATGTCAATTCTTCGTTATTCTTAATGTTTGTAGTGGGAAAAAAAAAAGAGCAAAAAATGGGTACACTTACAAAAATATCCATGTTAGGCGTGCCAAAAAGAGGCTTTTATTCCATCCTCTCCCATATCCTACTATTTGCTCCTCCATTTGTGAAAGCCATGAAGCAAAGACTGGCTTTTTTTGCTTTTTAGTATTCCTTCGGCTGCTAGCAAGAGGAAGCCCTACAGAGACCATCTAATGATGCTTAACCATACTGACCACCTGCACTAAATATAATACAGGTAATACCTTATCTGTTACTTCTATGGGACATAAAAGTTATACCTTGTAGGTATGCTGATGAAGTTCATCTCTCTAGATTAGTCTGGAGGAAATTCTGCTTTGCTATACACAAATCCAGTTCCCCTTAAGGCAGCCTTCCCTCATTCCAGTTCCACAGGAAGAAACAGTAATTAAAATGAAAATGTAAGCATGGACCTGAAAATGTATTTTGCACAACTTGCCAGGCTCCAAAGCAACAGTGGAGTCTCACTCTCAGTGCTCCTCAGATTCAAGGGATGCAAGGTTTTATTTTATCATTTGTTTATAGTTTTTGTCTTAGGTTGCATGTTTAGGACATCTTATACCAATAAAGGAAAAAGACTGAAAAGATACTGGAAATTATCAACAAGAATAAAAGCTACAAACTGATCTTTACTATATTTCTGTCTGGTAAAACAGATGAAAGCAGGAAAACCTCACGAAATTTCAGAAATTGCATTTTATCTGTTTGGCCACAGTGTGTCAATGTTTTCCCACACATTTCTCAATGGAGGAACCATCTGCAGTGGAATCAGCTCCTGCCAAACAGATGTCAGAGTGCCAGCTTTGATTTAGGGCAGGACTTAGAGCCCTTGGGCCTTTAACACCCTTCTGCAGCTGGATCACTTTGAATGAGATTTTGCTGAACAACAGCTATATATATTTTTTGTGTATCCACAGGAAGATGATGGTAAGGACAGCAGAACAGAGATGGAATAAGATGCCAGTTCCATGCAGGTCACATTTAGCTCCAGATTGTTTTCACATCAGATTTAGCTGGCATCATATCCTAGGATTCTGCACTTGGAGTGAACCAGTTTACAGACTGATGGAAAAAAACAATGCTTAGTGAAGAAAGAAACACTTCAAAGAATTTTCTTCCTTTAATATCCTTTAACAGGTCACTGATGGTTGCCACCATGATTCTTCACTGTTTGTGGTCACTTACAGAGCTGCAGGTGCAAAACAGACCTTTTAATCTACAACTGACAACATTATAAATTCCCCTGAACTTGGATTTATCTATGACTTATGCACACCTTTGGTTTTGGCAATGCATCCTTAGGAATGAAACTGCAGATTCAGGTTGCGTTAGGGTTTGGAGTGTAACTCCACGCCATGCTATCGTCCATTGCGAATCTCAAGTGTTCTCAGTCTGGTCACTAGAGAAAAGCACTTCATAGGCACCTGCTACAGTTATCAAAAGAGATGTAAGCTGAGACTGTCAGTGTAAGAGAGAGGGTTCAGCATCTGAGCTAACCCACCAAAGTCAGCAACACACGTTATCTGTACACTGTCTTAGGCAACAATTCTTTTTGTTCTACAAAACTTGTCTCTGAATAGCATTGCTTTGCCTGGTTGGCCTATTTAATTTAATGCTTTCATAACATTTCCAGTCGGTCATAACTTTCCCAAGATGGATATCAGGTTTCATAACCCTTTTCCTTCTAGAAAAAAAAAAAGTTAGAGGAGGGTTACTTTTTGTTATTGCTGGCTTTCGCAAAAAGCCACACTGAAAGAAAAAGAACTGAAACCAGTTATTTGCGAGATTATAAAATTACTTTTGCTCCACACAGAGCACTTTTTTAGCTGCTTCAACTGCTTGTAAAGCTCAGACACAGTATAAACTGCCTGCAACCACTGTTTAGGGACTTATTGCACTCTAAAATTAGGGTGACAACTAATTAGTGATAATTAATAAAAGGAACACAAAGTTATGTGAATAAAAAAAAGACTGAGTGGGGGTTTGTGTTCTGGTACTTGTTAAAACAACTGGGTTTCTGCATATGGTAACTAAGCAGGGCTGTCCTACAAAACTAGGTAAGATCACAGCTCTGTTTACGCAGCTCCACATTTGCACCATTTCTAGCAATGCAGGAAAGGCCGTAGTTCTTGACAGACAATTCCTTCGCAAAGCCACAAACACAAGCAGAAAACAACTGTTGTGTGTGTTCCCTTTCTGGCTCTCTGGGGCTTCCCATGGAGGCTCTGATGACACTTGTCCATGTATCTTATTTCTGCCTTCTCTTTGTGTTGCTCCAGAATTTGCCCAACCTATTCAACAGTACCTCCCTGGTGCCAGCAGCACAGTAAGCAGCAACTTGGCAAGAAAAATCTCTTTTTACCCCAGACCTACCACTGTGCTTTCCTTGCCTCGTATTCCAGGGCAGAATTTCTTCAGCATCACTGATTCCCTCTCACAGCAACCCATCCACACTTGATTCCTGGGTTACTGAAATTGATTTTTCTGTTCCCTTTTTTTTTTTTTAAATTACAACTTTTTTTAACAGTTTTCTCCTAAATATACGACCCCCAAAAAGAGATTGGTATGTCCAGGGGGCTTAACACTAGTGCTTTTTGTTTCAGATCAATCAGCTCCCCACTCGCCGCAGCTTCCAGCTGCCTTCTGACCCTGCCCACTGTTGGGAAAAAGAAGTAAATTTTGAGAAAAGCGGAAGCCATTTCCTGGTAACAACTTTGTGTTAACAAAAGATGTCTCTTGGGAAGGCTGGTGTCCAGTCTTCCCTTTCCTGGATCGTCCCACATAGCTCTGTCTCCTTGATCTGCAGGTGTTGAAACAGAACAGTAAAGTGTCAGGCTCGTGCCAATGTAAGGTATAGGAGATGTTTATATAGTGTTATATTAACACATCTGAATGAGAAGTCACTGTGTGACTGTGTTAGAAGACCCTTAGCCCTGTCTCTAGGATCCAGCTGGTCTCAGGCATTACAGGCACCAGCCTTAGGCATAACCAGCACAGACCTTGCCAAAGCTCTGCTGGGTTCTGTCGGCCTGTGGCCAGGGTAGGAAGCCCGGGATGGACGCAGCCCCACCTCGCTTTTCTCTCGGCTTCGCACTAGCGAGGATGTAGGGGCAGAGAGGTGCCATCAGTTTGGGAAGGGCATAGAGGTGCTGGAGCAGGTCCAGAGCAGGCAACGGAGCTGGTGAAGAGTCTGGAGCACGGGTCCGACGAGGAGCTGCTGAGGGAGCTGGGGGTGTTCAGCCTGGAGCAGAGGAGGCTCGGGACGACCTTATCACTTCCTACAACTACCTGAAAGGAGGTTGTAGTTAGGTGGGGGTCGGCCTCTTCTCCCAAGTAATAAGTGGCAGGTTGAGAGGAAATGGCTTCAAGGTGTGTCGGGGGAGGATTAGATTGGGTATTAGGAGGAACTTCTCCACAGACAGGCTGATTAGACATTGGAATGGCGGTGGAGTTACCGCCCCCGCAGGTGTTTAAGGATGTAGCACTTAGTGCCATGATCTACTTGACAAGGTGGTGCTCGGTCACAGGTCGGACCCGCCGATCCCAGCGGCCTTTTCCACCCTAATCGACCCTGCGATCTCGTGATGTGCCCCCCGCTGAGGGGGGCGGGCGTCACGTGCCCCCACACCCGCAGCGCCCAATAGGGAGGGCGGACCCGGCCACGTGATGAAGCGCGCGCGAACGGTCAAGAGGGAGGGCGGGGGGAGGCCCCCCCACCGCTCCCGGCGAGTCACGTGATGCGGCGCCGCTCTGCCCCCCCCAACCCCCTCCCGCCGTCGTCACGTGTGCGGGCGCCGCCGGCGGCGCGCGCGGCCCCGACGGCCGTGAGGGGCAGGGGCAGCGGCTGCGGCGGCGCCGGGGCCGGGGCGGGACCGCGGGGGCTGCGCCGCGCCGAGGGGCCGGGGGGAGCCCGCCGGGAGCCCGCCGGGACCTGCCGCGGGCACTGGGTGAGAGCAGCGGGCAGCGCGGGCCGAGCGGTCACCGCGGCGAGGGGCCGCGGGGGTGGCGGTGGCGGTGCCCGTGCGGAGCGGGAGGGAGAGAGAGGAGAGGGAGAGGGTCCTTCTCGCCTCAGCAGCGCTGCGGTGGAAACCCTCACTCGCGCTCTGTCGCGCCGCCTGCGAGTTCATCCCCACAGCTCCCTGGGAGCCTCTTCCTGTATGTCCTTAACGCAGTACGCGCTTAATGCATTGTGTTCTTACAGCCTTCTGGTGGTTTGTTTGTTTATTCATTTTCATTTTTCTGTTTCGTGATGCCTCGGTTCATCCTTCGCTTTCGTCGCCGGCTTCCTGAAGGCTGAGATATCCGGCTTGTTGGAAAAACACAAACGCAAAGGAAAAACTCAGTGCTTTTTGTTTCTTCTCACCGGGCTTTATATGAACTGCTAAAGCGTTTCTTCAGGTTTTTAGCGCGCTTCCTCCAAATTAAAGGAATATTTTTTTTAAGGAGATTGTAGAGTTCTAATTTAGAAAACTCCTAAATTAAATATTGAAGGAATACTTGCCTTTTTAAAAAAAAAAAAAAAAGCAACTCGCAGACTTCTAATTTAGAAAGTCCAAAATGACCCCTTTCAGAAAGCGGGTTGTCCTCTGTTGACGAAAAGTAAAATGGGCTTTAATCGTTCCAACACACTTTGGGATTACTAGAAGAAGGTACTAAACATCATAAATGGAAATGTGTTTGAAGCACAAAGTGTTTTAGGAAAAACTTGGGAAGATGTTTGAAAGATGTATTCGTTCTTTAGAGCCTTAATATGATTGCTTACCTTTGAATGCTTATCTCTGTATGCATCAGATTGAAATATAGGTATTGCTTTAAAAGATGTCCTCAGTAAATAGTTACAGTAATAACTGCTCAGCATAAAAAAGAAAAAGCATGTTGTGGTTGTAATTACAGTTTTATTGTGGTGGGTGGATGCCTGGAATACTGTTAAGGGTTGTTTCCTATGGGCAAAACAGTCACGTTTAATCGTGTTCACGTGCGTGGTGCTTTTTGCTTGCTTGTATTTCGCTCAGCTGGTTGCTCAAAGCAGGTCTGGTTGTCAGTCACTTTTTTCCTTCCTTGTATTGCTCATAAAAGGCATCCGAAAATATTTTGTGCAGAGGTTCGAACCCATGGGTTTTGCCATAGAAATCTTGCTTTATGTACGGTCCAAGGAAAGTAAGTTAAGGCATGTGATTTCAGGGAGTGCAGTATCTTTTTGCTGGCGGGGGGAGAGCCTCAGTAACATCATTTGGTTCACACATCTGATTAATGTTAATAGTATGTATTGTTTCCATGTTCTTTCTCAGTACTGAAATATGAGATTCAAAACAGCAAACAGACTGGAAAAAAACATGGGGAAGATTAGTGTTATGTCTAGGATTTAATTCTCCCTCAGTTGAGGTGTACTTCAAATTAAAAAAGGATTAAGTGTGCTAGTCACTTTGTGTTGTTCTAAAGCCAGATATCCAAGCTTTTGTGTTCTCACTGCTGTCCATAATTCCCATAGGAATGTCCATAATTCCCGTTAGGAGAAACGAAGGCCTGAGCCTGCAGTTTCCCTTTGTGCAGGAGTAGGTCTGCCCAGCTGGAATAAACTGCAACACTGGAGCCTGAGGAAAGAGTGAAACAAACAAATGTGCAATTATGTTCAAACAGTCAAAAGGGGATAATCTTTGAGGAGTTAACTATTGGGTTTTTTTGCGATGACAATTAGTACTGTGTGCCCGGTAGGATGTTGTGTTAGGCTATTGTTCTCTCCAGCATTGCTTTATTTAGCTGAACTATAAACTCTGTAGAACTTTATCTAAAATCATTTTAACAGAACATTTTGTAAACACTGCGATTTTGGAGGTCTTTTCAAGTCAGGGATCCTTGTTTGCCTGCATGCATCACTCAGAGTCAGCTTGCAGGCTTTTTATTTAGAAATCAAATTAGTGAGATGTTAATGTGTAGGCAGCAGTTGAGTACGGAATTTTTGAGGGGCTTATGTCTCTGAAAGCATGTGACTTGTTTTAATTGTGAGCAGATGTAGATGTCTTTCCCCTAATGCTGGTGACTACTCCGAGGTTAGTTTCTTTTTTATCACAATATGTGGCCAGTTCAGTTTCTCTCTTTATAAGTCATCCTTTTTTGCTTATTTTTAGCCTTGCTGAAGTTCAAGCAGTCCTCTCTGTTTCTGTTCCTGCTTGGATACCGGGGTTGTTGGATCCTTTTAGAGATGTCAGAGCCGTGAGAA